GTTGATGGCAGAGCTGTTGTCAATGAAGAGTATCCTGATGTAGGAGTCTCCATTTTCCAGGTGAGAAAGGGAATAATGGAGGGCAGCCGCGCTGGTAGACATACTGCAGGGGGTCCAGGGTGTCTGGTATACTGCTCTGAATGTGGGCCAGCACCACTCTCTCAAAACACTTCATAATAATTGGGGTAAGTGCCACTGGCCTGTAGTCGTTCACGCAGGTGACTGGGCTCTTCTTGGGAAGAGGGACGATGGTTGTGGTCTTAAAGCAGGTGGGAATGATGCTCTGGCTGAGGGAGAGGTTGAAGATGGTGGTGAGAACATCAGCCAGCTCGCTGGCACATGCCCTGAGAGCCCTCCCAGGGATGTTGTCCAGTCCTGCTGCTTTGCGGGGGTCGATCTTCCTCAGGACTGTGCGAACCTGGCCTGGTGAGACAGTTAGTAAAGGGGAGGGGAGGTGGGGGTTGGGTGGTCCAGGTGTGCATGTGCCTCCTCTCTGTGCTGTAGCTGGAGGTCTCAAAGTGGGTGTAGAAGGTGTTGAGGTCATCCGGCAGGCTGTCTGTGGAGCTGCTGATGCTGGTGGTGGTCCTGTAGTCTGTGATGTGCTGCAGGCCTTGCCACATCCATCCAGAGTCAGCAGTGTAGCTCTGTTCTTTTCACTTTGTTTCGTTTTATTTTAAATGTATTTTCTTGTTTTTGTCTGGCTGCATACGCTGCGAAGCACTCTGTGTATGAAATGTGCAACACAAATAAATTTGCCTTTTGTGATTTCAGTGATTCCCCTGTGTGTCAAGTCATACACGGTATTCCCTGTTTGTGCACAGATGCTCAAACGTTCATGCTATCAGGAGTCATTCAGCCTAGTTCTGAAATATTCCACAAAGAACTGGTCCATACAAGATAAAACTATTTGTTTCCAGGTTTTCTGTAGTGAGTACCGTTTCTACTGTAGTGATACTTGCAATCTGCTGTGTCTCTGCAGTTCGGTGGCCGTGCTGAGAGAGTGCATGAAGAACGAAAGTCTGGTTCGTTTCTTCCAGGAGAGACAGACGACTCTGAACCATTCGCTACCTCTGGAGACCTACCTGCTCAAACCAGTGCAGAGGATCCTCAAGTACCACCTGCTCCTACAGGTGATCCTGCAAATCCTACCAGTCCCTGCATGTAGTGCCTCAGACGTCACCTTCTTCTACATGTAATGCTACAAATGCCACAAAACTTCAAGTACTACATTTAGTGCACAGGGCAACCGATACCAGTACTACCTGCTGTTAGAGGTGATGCTTCAAATACTATTAAATACCGTGTATACAGTAGTGCCTCACAACCTACTGTGCCTGCTACTACAGGTAATATTCCAAACATTATCATGACATAAAATATAAAACAAAGCTCTTTAAAGTTTGTTTTGAAGGTTTTCTCAAGGCATCTTTGCTCAGCGGTGGTACAGCGGCACGGTGGTTAGCACTGTCACAGCAAGAAGGTTCTGGGTTCGAGCCTCAGCCGACCCGGGGCCTTTCTGTGTGGAGTCTGCATGTCCTCCCTGTGCCTACGTGGGTTCTCTCCGGCTTCCTCCCACAGTCCAAAGACATGCAGCTTAGGTTGACTGGTGACTCTAAACTGCCTGTATGAGTGAGAGTGGTTGTTTGTCTACATGTCAGGCCTGTGACACCTGTCCAGGGTGGACCCCGCCTCTCACCCAATGTCAGCTGGGATTGGGTCTGGCCCCCCGTGACCCTATTTAGGAATAAGTGGTGGAGATAATGGGTGGATGTGTAGTATCTCAGCTCAGATGCTACACATTAAAGGATCAGAAGCAAAAATAATAAAGTGATTGGAACATCTCTACATTTGGCCCTGTCTCTGTAATGGGCCCTGACTTTCTGGGCCCCTGGGCCAGTGTGTACTGGGCCCAGGTGGCAATCCATCCATGAAAATACTGGGTTAAAGTACTTTTATAATAAATTCCAGGTCTTACTTGGACATCACTCATAATACATGTCTTAGCACAGACATCTGAAGGCACTCGCATGCAGAGCTTTTCCCAGTGACCTTGTGGAGGTTCGTCACTGGTCCCAGTCCAGGCCCACCTCTGAGAGGAGCAACGTGATGAAACAGAAACCGCCTCCCAAATCCTGCTCTGTGTTCTCTCGAGCACAATTCCAAACACTGGTCAAATGTGTTTAGATTTGTGTTGGGATTTTCCCATAATCCTCAGCTGGTTACTGCTCCACTGTGTCAGCCAGGGAGCTGGTGATTGTGCTGCTGGTTCATTCTACTTTCTATTCACCTCTTTGTGTGTCTTACACTGTTAGACATGTAGCTTGTCTTTCAGACATTCACCGTATCTTATGTCTGAATTTTAGCCTAAAGTGTTTTGTCTCTTCTCAGGAACTCTCCAAGCACTTCAACAAGAGCGACCCTGGATATGAGGTCATTGAGGATGCCATCATCACCATGACAGCAGTTGCCTGGTACATCAACGACATGAAGAGGAAGCAGGAACATGCCGTGCGGCTGCAGGTACGTGGCTGGTAGCACCTGAAACAGCGTCTCTGACCTTTGTTGGGAGCATCTTTTGTCAGAGTACTAATATTATAACAAGTCTCAGATTTAGCCAGATTGGCTTCGTGGATGTGAACGACTATCTGCCTCATTGTGTCCTGACCTGTTCAGGATGTGTGTCCTGGAATCGGCTGCAGCCGCCTGTGCCATATTAGCTGGGTGGATGGGATAGTCAGTTTTCCAGCTGCAGCTAAAGGTGCAAGAAAGTTTCTTTGGCCCAAGAGCCAGACGCCCAGAGACACATAGTGTGCTCTGTGGTGCGTTTTCACCATCCACTGAAGGGACTGACAGCTGAGGCTTGTTTTGATTTTAACTTCATTTCAAACTGAGGTTAAGAAAATCCTCCACATGCTGTAGCTGTGGTAGAGTCTGATCTAAACAGTGTTCAGGTTGGTTTAAAACCTGGAGATTGTCACTTGGACTGAGTGAGTGCAGCAGCTGACAGAGCGTGTGCAGGCTTGTGCCAAGACAGGTCTGCTGGTTGACCTTCAGGCGTCAACACACTACGATCACTGCGCTCTTCGACTTTGTCCAACACGGGCTCGCTTGGTTACACACACAGGAACATGTTATTATCTGGTTCCATCACATGTGCTCAGCAGCTGCTATAGCCCCGGCCTCTCTCTGTGTGTGTTTTAACACCTCTTCTGTCATTTATGCAGTTTTTCTGCTTTGGTCTTTGTTCTGCAGCATCTTGGATAGCCTGTCTGTCGACAGACCAGGTCCTTGTGGCCTTGGGTTTTTTCTAGAGACCTCACTCCAATTAATGTGTGATCTGCGACCTTTCATCTCTACAGGAAATTGAGTCCCTGCTGGTGAACTGGAGCGGGCCGGACCTCAGTGGGTTTGGAGAACTGGTTCTGGAGGGTTCCTTCAAGGTCCACCGAGTGAAAAAGGAGAGAGCGTTCTTCCTGTTTGATAAGATGCTGCTGATCGCCAAGAAGAAGCTGGAGCAATTCGTCTACAGCACACATATATTTGTAAGAACGTCACTGTGCTTTTCTGCACATAGTCTTGCGTAGCCTGCTTTACAGAGCTACCTGCAGTTAATGTCCTGTGGTGACTTGAAATGAAAGTGGTCAGATTTAAAGAAAGTGGAAATCAGAGAGAAGTATCTGCAGCTTTGGTACATAAATATCAAGAATGCTGGCTTTCATGTGACATGCTTTTTAACCCTCTGTTTCAACAGCACTATCACTGTTTTCTCATGTTTGTTCCTCTGCTGCAGTGCTGCAACCTGCTGCTGGTAGAGACTCTGAAGGACCCGCTGTGTTTCAAAGTGTCGGACCAGACGATTCCCAAACAGCAGCACATCGTCCAGGTGAGCGTCAGACTGAATGTGGTTCCAAATCAGATCCACTGAGGTCATGTGTGAGACTCCAGTGTCAGGTCTGAAACATTAGACTTCATACAGAACAGTGTCATCTTAAAATCTGTGGTTTATGTAGGAGATACAGCACAGACATAAGATCAAAAGACAACTATTTCTATGTGGAAAGGTATTAATTACAGAAAGATACCGGTTAAAGTGTCTACCTCAGGTACCTGTTGCTCTCTGTGTCTTATACTTGTATTATTACTGCAGACAAAGAACCAGGAGGAGAAGAGACTGTGGGTGCACTACCTCAAGAGACTGATTGTAGAAAACCATCCTGCTTCCCTCCCACTGAAGGTAAGGTGGCGACGGGGGGGGCGGAGATGTACATGTAGCTGTAAACACCATCATGATTTTTAATGTCAGTATCAGGATTATGTTGTTGTAAACACTGTAGTAGGTGAAGAGGAGGAAGTACAGTAACAGCATCTGTAGTAGTAGTAATACTAATAGTAATAGTAGAAGGTTTAACAGTGATAGTGCGGAGCTGAAGCACTTTGTTAGCAGGAGTAGTAACTGTTGGTCTCTGCTGCCACCTGCTGGTTGTTCCCTGCACTGTAGAAACTGGATCCATCAGTGGAAGACCTGCGGTCACAGACACTGCTGTATTACAACCTGAACACACACAAAGAACACACTGACTGTGTAGCGTCTTTGTCTAAATCTGTGGATGGAGCAAAGCAACAAATACAAGTTAACATCAGATCTGACACAACAATCACTGTAGTGATTAAACAGTAAAATATGAGGAATACTCTGAATAATCCGTTTTGTGCCTCATAGCCTGTGGGGGTCTGTCTGTAAATCCGACGTGAAGATGCTCCTTCACCAGTAATAATGAGTCTAAACAAAGCAGCAGGCCTGAACAGCACCTCCTGCTGATGTAACTGCTGCTTTTTCTACACCTCCTGCGGTAAAATCATAGCTTATAACTGCCGTCCTCGACCAGGTGATGCTTTCAGAGGAGCTCAGGTCTCTTTCTGAGAGAGTGAGCCCCTCAGATTAAATGTTATTTAACACCTTTCCCAGCATGCATTAGGGCAGGTCACCGATCTATTTAAGTAAAATGATACAGATGTAGCAGATTCAGAACTTACAACTATGACAAATGAAGACTTGGAAAAAATTCCCAAACAGAACAAACACAGAGCATCACACTCAAAGTTAATTTTGGAACTGCAATGTTTTTCTTATCTTTGTTATTTCTGGCAAAAGTCCATCTGATATAATGTGCCTGGGTCCTGGATTTATGAGGAGACGGTTATTGTCGGTATTATCAAACCCTTGTGATCTTTAACCGAATCCTTTCTGCCATGATGATTCACTGAGCACAGTGTCATTTTTTTCCAGGCGAGACAAGTCCTGGGAGATAACTTCTGTCAGTGTGAGTTCACACACCATTTATTCATCAATAGATCCACAATGAGTCGCTGTTTTTAGCATGTGCTGATGGGGTGACATCATTTCCTGTGTTGCAGCGCCACAGTTCGACCAGGACCACGTGAGGAAGTCCTCCGCCTCGCTCCGACTGGACAATATCCAAGGTTACCACAGAGGTAGACGCCAATCAGGTCAGGGTTAGTTGTCTTTTTGCTTATGCTGCTATCATTTACAACACAATCAATGTGGTTCAAAATATTAAGCTTTTCAACATATATCAAAGTGTTTTAAATTCTGTGTGCAAACCTCAAAACAAAGTGAGTCCTAAGATTGAGGCTTGTGTGTGTATCAAAGCTGTAGAGCAAATGACCACCCTGTTGCACTGGGTGACATGTTGCCATGAAAAGACACACTGGACTTTATTTTGATTCAGTCCAACACGGTTAATGGGCTAAAGCTATGGTGGTGGTCTCTCTGCTACGCTTGTCCCTCCAGAGCCTCCAGAGCTGCTGATGTACACACCTGAGAGGTCCAGAAAGAGTTTGCCACTGCTGCTGGAGGGAAACCTGCCTTACAGACGGACCAGGAGACAGTCAGGTAGACAGAGACATCGGGAGACAGTCAGTTAGACAGAGACACTGGGAGACGGTCAGAAGGACAGAGACACCAGGAGGCAGTCATTTAGACAGAGACACCAGGAGACAGTCAGGTAGACAGAGACATCGGGAGACAGTCAGTTAGACAGAGACACCGGGAGACGGTCAGGTAGACAAAGAGACAGGGAGATGGTCAGGTAGATAGAGACACCAGGAGATGGTCAGGTAGACAGAGACACCAGGAGACGGTCAGTTAGACAGAGACACTGGGAGACGGTCAGGTAGACAGAGACACCAGGAGACGGTCAGAAGGACAGAGACACCAGGAGGCAGTCATTTAGACAGAGACACCAGGAGACAGTCAGGTAGACAGAGACATCGGGAGACAGTCAGTTAGACAGAGACAGTAAGTTAAGTTAATGATGACAAATAGTAGAGGAACAGAAACAGGAAGTGTCCATCGTCCACAGCTGCAGACAGGCCTTCAGTCCACGGCTCAGGGTCCACAGTCTTCAGACTTGCTACCCTCCTTCACGCGATGACTAGATGCTAAGCTGAGCCAAATGTTCACAGGTGAATGAACATTTTACCATCTAATAATAGAAGAAACACAGACCCTGAAACCTCAGTGTCTCTCAGAGACCAGACCTCCTGTGACCATCTCTGTGGACAGAAAGGACGCTTGTCTCCATGAGAGAGGACTGGACCTATATGGGTCCAGTCCAGGATTTTCAGGTTGATCTCTGTGCCAAACACTGGATCCACCTCTCCCAGTTTTCATGTCAAGACAAGAAATGTTTCCTGATTTCATGAGCTGTGTTGGTAACAAGAACATTTCCAGCCTAGCAGGATGGTCTTATGTGACTTAGTTACAATAATCAATCAGTGCTGCTGTAAACATGGGCCATATGACATCTCTGTTTCTCTTCCAGCTCCAGCTAAAGACATCGAGGCGGCGTTTCATCCCAATGGTGAGAACAATTCTGCCTCAGCATTAGACGTGATAAAATGCCACCAGCACCTCTCACTGTCCAGCAGCAGCTGCTCTCTACACTCCACTGTTTGTCTTTCAAATACAAATGGCAGAGAACAGGTGAAATGTTTTCCTCTTACATGTGCCAGAGGACAGAAATGTGCCCTTCTGATGGTTGATGATGATGGGTTTGTGTACAACCTACTGAAGGATGAGTAGGTCATTGTCTAAGCAGTAAAAGTGACAGGCTGTGCTGCAGGAACTTGACATTGGCTGCATTGTTGCCTTAGGTTAGGTTAGGTTACTTTATTTATACCTGTAGGTAAATTTGTCTTGCAGTCAGATCAAATGACATCCTTGACACATTCACAAAATACAAGAATACAACAACATATAACATAAAACCTGGCGCCTACACCGAACCTATTGAAAGTACTCAGGGCTCCACCAAAAAAAAAAAAAAACATCTGAAGAAAACCTAAAATGACTTACAATAGATTACTACAGCCTATTTAACTCTATGACAGCAGCAGGGACAAAACTATTTCTATACCGCTGCGTTTTACATCTCGGGACGACAAACCTTCGTCCAGAAGGAAGAAGCCGAAAGTGGCAGTACAAGGGATGGGAGTCATCATTCAGAATAGAAGTAACTACCCTCTGTACCTGTCCACTGTACAGAGCTGCTAAAAT